GGACTGTTCACGCCGATCTCGCCTTGCGAGCGGTGACTTGCCAACCGCTCCACAAGCAAACTATCGACTGAATCGGAATAATTGCTACTGTAAATTAGAGAGTAGCAAGTGTAGATGTGATTAAATTATAGGCAGCAGGTATAATTTGATCCTGAATGCAGTAGGGGTTTAATCAGTCTGCTAAAAGTATGGGAAAGGGGAAAATCGAGACATGCTACCCCTCTCTGCCTTTGGTGGGTTAATGCGGTTTTGGCAATTCTACATACTCCAGTTGACCCAGTGGTGAAAAAAATCGGCGGCCTCTGTGGGGTTCGAAATGTATTTCATCGGGACCTACCAGTGCTTCCTCCATGCATGTGAAGGCAGCCCGTTGAGGGCAGGCCAGACAAATTCGTGGACAGTCTTCGTATTCGGCAGCAGTGGATGCCGCAGTAGAGGCCGCCACGGTTATCGTTGCGCTGCCCTCCTGTTCTCTAGTTTGCTGCTGCTCCAGATCATGATTACGAATATCTCGAGCAAGCCTCCGGTGACTGCTATTCTGTGTGCCTTTTCGCACAATCTGTTGGCACTTCTGACAGTCCCGGCGTTTATCCTCGGAACTCTGCGCAAATGCACTCTCCTCCTTCACGGCTGGCAGTGGTTCGTCCGCCACCCTCTCGTTGCACGCATCAGGCAGTCTGTGATGGTGCGTTGCCATGTGTTCTATGAAGGCAGTAAGAGTCGGCAGTTCGCGGCTGCATATGGGGCAGATGTAGATCGTGGCGGTCTCACCCAGTTTTCGCTTCTTCATCTGCACCTTCGAGGGCTCCGTTGACACTGGTTGCAGTGAAATTTCTGCAGATGAATTTCGTTCCACTCTCCAGCTCAAATCCATGGGAGTTGATGTAGCATCTGTGGCTGCGTCGATTTGATCTACAAGAGGGGATCATATCTGGAGTTTTTTTAGTTTTCAAGTGCATTGGAAAGGTCTGGCCTTTTCATTAAAATTAAAAGAGGAAGTGTGCGTTTTTCCATTTAAATACAGTAGATCTCTTTTTTCGTGAAATGTTCATTGAAATTCTGAAATGCGGTTTCAATTCGAACAAATGACCTAAGTAGGATTTTAATATTGATCTATTGTGTGGCTTAATTCCAAGAAATTTCAGTCATGTCGGGATGCCGGATTTTGAATGAGCTTCTAGCTGGTCGCTTAAAAAACATACTCTATAAAAAATGACTACTTAACTAGTATGCATTTTTA